ATACAACTCCGAAAGTTAATTTTAAATATTTGGAAAAATAATAAAGCTAGATCCATGAAACTAGGTAGTCGTGTGTCCAATTTCAGGTCAGATGTATTTCTGAAGTTTTGGTAGAATTGCTTGACAGGTTCGGGTAGCTTCCATACAAGTCCGAAAATTAATTTTAATAATTTGGAGAAATATTAGAGCTAGATTCATGAAACTCGGTAGTCGTGTGTCCAATTTTAAGTTAGATATATTTCTGAAATTTTGGTGGAATGACTTGACAGGTTCGTATAGCTGCCATACAACTCCGGAAGTTAATTTTAAATATTTGCAAAAATAATAAAGCTAGATTCATGTAACTTTGTAGTCGTGTGTTCAATTTCAAATAATAAAGCTAGATTCATGAAACTTTGTAGTCGTGTGTTCAATTTCAGGTCAGATATACATATTTCTAAAGTTTTGGTGGAATTGCTTGCCAGGTTCGGGTAGCTGCCATTGAACTCCGAAAATTAATTTTAAATATTTGGAAAAATGTTAAGGCTAGATTCATGAAACTCGGCAGTCGTGTGTAAACTACAGGTCAGACATAATATCCGTGAAGTTTCTATTAAGTGGTTTGACAGGTTCAAGTAATTGACAATTAGGGATCAAAGTTATTTCTAAATATTTCAAAAACAAATTTTTAAACTAAAATTATCAAAGTGCAGGGTATTATTCAGTCGGTTTATACCGACTGAAATGTTTTTACTTGTTGATATCTGACGTAGGTATTTTCCTCATTATTGGAGAATAAGTAGTAACATGCTATTCTCTGATAACGGTATTCTCTGTATTTTTATTTTCCTTGCATGTATATAAATCTATATCAGACTCCAAAGATCAGGTGGCTGCACTGGTGAAGGTGAAGTCCCGGGAGTGATGGACGGAGTTTGTTGCATGCTCTTCCTGTCTTCCGGGAGATAATGACCGTCCACACGAACAAATGAAGGTGCTAGTGAACTTCTGTGGAAGAAGGAACTTCCAACTGATAATAGGAAGTCTAGCAATTGCTCACCAAACCGTCAGGGGGGGGGGCATCAATATAAATAAGAGAGGTGAGTGCTTATTTGAATTTATATATAGCAATAGGCTAGAAGTTATGAATGAAGGAAATAGGCCAAAATTTGTAAACGCACTTATTTGATTGACAAAATTTGTACTGAATTCATGCAATAGGGTTGATGGGTGACATGTCTCTATGTTCGACCACAGGCAGCTCAGATTCAACATCCTGATCTCGGCAGGTTTTGCGGAAGAAATGTGCCGGGTGCCTCATTCCATAAATTGGAGAACATCGAATTGGTTAATGATGGCCTGACAACAGCCATCAAGAGATAAGGAAAGCAAAGACGGCCTCTTCTGTCTTCACGGTGGGCAGGATTAGATGGGTTATCTTTTCTTTCAAGCCTTTCAAGTCACCAGAGGAAGACGGTGTACTGCTGCACTGTATGCGGAGCTATTTTCAACATAATGCTAAGGCATTGTTGCAGATCCTTCGTGTCGGTTATGCATGGGGTTACATTCCATTATCGTGGAGGGTAGCCAAGGTGGCGTACATTGCGAAGGTAAGAAAGCTACCAATCAACCACCCTAGGTCACTTGAAGACGGTGGTCAGAAACTGGCTCTTTCTGGGTTCCAGGGAGGTTACATATTTGGGGGTAACCCTAGATAATCGCCTCTCTTGGAGTACTCATATAGGCAAAGTCATCGAAAAAGCAATGACAGCCTTGTGCGCATGTAGAAGTTTTGTTGGCCTGTTGGTGAAACTTCAGAGGCTGGTTTGTCAAGGAATTACTGCCGCTGTCGCACCTCTAAATTGTGCGTAAAGCTCGGCTAACAACTAACCGATTTCTTACTGGTGATGATGCCGCAGGGAGGAAATTGACCCACAGCACTCATACTCGACCAATGAGGTTGCTCTCGGCAACAGCTCTTTGATTATTTCGGAATCGCCATCTTTAACCACCTCGAAATAGTCATCTCTCGGCCTGGATTCTTATTACTCGATTTTCAAGCCGAGCTATGCTGATTATAGTTTTATTATTAATTATTTTCACATTGTTAGTAAGTCTAATTCACTGATTTACTTAAACTATTGCATCAGGAACTTTAAAACTTACAAATTTCTTTATAATACTTTTATTATGTTTTATTTTATATAGGGGACAACTTGAAAGGACTCATTTTATTAATTATAACAAAATTATAAAATCACTTTCATAATTATAAAATTTAAAATCAAATAATTACAAACTTAAACTAAAAACTAATAAAATTTTTATTAACTTTATTTTAAATCGTGAATTCTAGACTAAAAAATATAGCACCAAATTTCTTTTTATTCGCTGTATTATCATTTTTTACTCTCAATTCTCTCAGATAATATTGTTTGACATGGTGGTACAAAAAAATGCGGGAAAAACTCGAAAATATATTTCATCAAAATTATAGTTAAAATTTGAATTTTTGATATGTAATTCGGACAACTCCAAATTTCATGTTACTATAAAAATTTTTAGGTTTTAGTGTAGAAAACTCGAAATCAAAATAGGCAAAAATCATTACGTAATTTTTCTAAAAAAACAACAAAAAAAAAATGAGTCTTCAGAAATGTCTTTTCGCCAAAACTACATGTGCAATTTTGCAAATACATTCACAAAAAAAGCAGGGCCTTGATTTTTTGTAATGTTAAGATAAAAAGGAATATTTTTAAAAAACGGAATTTTTAATTTTTTTTTGAAAAGTGAAGTAAAATTTTTTTAGCAAATATGAATTAATTTCGTTTCTACAGCTTTGGAAGAACTTAAATTCAAACAAACAAAATTGAAAACTTAAAAATTTATAATAATCACTTTCTTTAAATTGCTTGCTACGTGTGAGTATTTCTTTCGTTGACTATTGGGGGTTATTTTTGCTACGTACGTTCGTAGTAACTAATTTATGACTACTCTATTATGAATGTTCGTAACAGAATTTTAGTAATTAGTAATTTCTGAATTCTTAATTAATTCTTTCCGAAACGAAATTCGTAATAGGGCTGACTATGAAAAATTCAAAACAAAAAATCAAACACGTTTATTATTATTTTAAATAGAAATATGTTAGCGTAACACATTTTTGTTCTTTTCTTCTTCCATTAGTAAACTGTCAATCCGAAAAAGCGCGTGCCGTATACCCATATGTATGTATGTAATAATAAGTTTTAATGTGCCTTGGTTTGTTAATAATATAATTTAAAAAAAAAATAAGTGAAGATATTAAAAATGTAGACATTTATATAAAAGGAATCGAATATAAAAACTTTAAATATATTTCTACTACGTCATCTTTTATTTGCGAATTCTGGAAATATTGTGGAATTAGATGTAAAAGAGATAAGTTAACAAATTATATAAAAAAAACTATTTGCTTTCTTCATTTGTCAACCTTAAAGTTATCCTATTTTAGTACAGAACTTCAATAAATATTTTCAGTCCTTCGAAGTAGGTAAAAAACTGAATAACTCTTTATATATTAAAAAAATATCTTTTTGTATCATACATCAAATATTTTAAGATTTTTTAATATTTTTCAGTACTTATCCGTTTCTGGGATCTTGCAATAAGATTGAACCGATCATGAATGTTTTTTGAATTGCATTACAATTTAGTTATACTTCAAATTAAAAAGTAAGTAAATATTAAATACTTTAGGAATAAAAATTTTCAAAGTATCAAAAAATTACGTTTTTTTTTTAATTTGATTATACTAAATTGATTTGCTTAATTAAATTAATATTGCGAATTATTACAAAGAAGCCCTATTAAATTTAAATACGGACAAGTTTGATTTAACTTTTTATCTGTTTAAAATTTTCAAACAGATGCTATTATAATGAACATGAGATGTTTTTTGAGATACATTGTCAATTATTTAAATAGAAGCAGTTTGATGTATTAGTTAAAATTTTAGATTTATGTTAAAATCAAACTGATATCATTTTGACGCAAAATCATGTGTTTCTATTTGAATTAAACATGAATCTATTAATTTTTTCGCTTAGTGCGTTACCACTGGTTTCTTCTTTTATGAAAGAATAAAAGCAATAACTTTTATGAAAGAATCTTAGTTATATTTACTTCATTTGAATATTAGTTGTGTCTTCTTTCCTTTTCGAGTTATTCCCCTCAAAGTTTTTGTAATGTCATTTTTTGGTCCCATATTTCTACGATACTTTATCTAGCGTCTATAAGAGCAAAAATATAACAGTAGTAGTCCTCTTCCCAAAACAATACCCTTATGTTATATTACCTTATTATGCATAGCAAATTCGCTAGATTTCCTTGCGAATTCGAGAAAAATTTGACTAATGAAAATATGTATTATGATGTTATAAGTACACGAATTCGTCAAAAGTACAGAATTTTAGTAAATGCTAGCTGATTGTCCTGGTCAAGAGAATTCGTCAAGTTAGCGGATCTGCAATATACATGCACATTAAGCCTCCGAAGTTTTATATTAGTATAATTCTTCAAAAATGAATTATTACTCTAATAATGCTCAGAAATAGTAAGAAAAAATTTAAAAATTTTAGAATTGTTAATACAAACAAAACTATTCTTACAACAAGAATATCACAAACGGCCTAACTCGAGTTAAGACAAAAATGTGTTATGTATTGCAAAGCCTACTGGTACACATCACATTTCCTTATTCACTAAAAACATGTTTTATGTTTATTAGACCATATGTCTTAACAATTAAGAGATTAAAAGAATTAAATATAAAAATAAATAAAAAATACGGCCAATTAAATTTTAAATATAAAGTTATTTTTATTTAACGATTTTTTTTTTTGGTTTATTTTTTAAACCTTAACTAAAATATAAAATTAAAATATTTTGAGTGCTAGTTTTTTATTGTTTATATAAATAAACAGAAAAATATATTTCATATAAAATAGTTTGAAAGTTTTATAATATTTTTACTCAAATACAATAAATAACTTAAAAATTAAATTTTCAAATTATTACATTGTTTTATATGTTATATTATATTTATGTATTATTTTTTTAAATTTCTACTTAATTGGACAAAACATATTGCTAATTAATAAAAAATACAACAAATACATTATAAATTTTAATATTTACTTTAAAAATTTGTATCAATTATTAGATTACAAAAATTATTTCTTAAACATATAAAAGAAATTAGAAGAATAATAAATTAAATAATGTTTAAAAAAATATTACTAAAAGAAATTTCGTTTCATTTAATTTAAATTGAAATATTACGAGATTCATTTTTTTGTATCAAATTAATATGTGCAAGTAATTAAGACACAAGGAATCGGGATATAAATAAGTAATCCTTAACAATTTAAACCGAAGATTAAAATCATTTTTATCATTCGCACTTATATAAAAGTTACTTTTGACCAATTAACACAAATTTTATAAAAAAGAAACTGCTTGTAAAAAAAGTTAATATTTTCAAAATGAAGTATGTATGTATGTATTTTTGAACATTATAAAAAATATTTTTTATATTATTAATCTGTATATACAAATATGCACATCAGTACGTATTACTCGTAATGATTTATTTTTAAATCAAGCGATATACACTAAGTCCTCGAGATACGATATTTCGAATTACGACATGATATAAATTTGGACCATTTTTATTCGGCTTTGGACATTCAAAATTTAAAATTTTTTTTTTTGTTCATAGATTTTACTATTTTTTGAATAAAACTCTATACCGAATTTAGTTATAAGCAAAAGATTTCAATAACGAACTCTTTCTAGTTAAAAATGCTAGTCAGTAGTTAAAAATACGAATTGAAGTGATATATATTAACTTAATCAGATTTTATTTTACTTATTTTTGTCACAAAATTGAGTTTTTTTGGTTTTGTTATTATATTTTGTTGTTTTTTTTAACTTTGTTACCTTTTTTAAAAAACAGGACAATTATGTTATAAAATATTTTGTCTAATTCACTTTTTGTTTCCATACATTTTTTTTCCTCCTCAAACGACAATTTGAGTTCCGACATAAATTTCCAGAACCAAATGCCGTATCTCGAGAACTTTGTGTATTTTGTTTACTTTACGGGCAAAGTTTTAAAAATACAAGTAAGTATTTTATAATTTTTCAGCATTGCTAAATTAAATATTTTAGATTTTTACATACTTATAAAATTTTATTTAATGAAATAAAATTTTGACAACATTAGGTAATAGTTTCTATTAGGATATAAATCAGTCTATTTGCAAATTGGAAACTTTATTTTGCTTTCATTTAATCATTCCAACATAAAACAGAGTAAAGAAAAATAAGAGACAAACTTATTCGAAATATTCTAAATAAGCGCAGTAAATGAAAACAAACAGGAAAAGAAGTAGATACTATTAATTTTATTAGAACACCTACGTATATTCGAGATATTTTTAGTTACATAAATGTAATAATAAGTAATGCTTTTACTTTATTATACTTTAATAAAATGTGAAAATAATTACAATACATACTTGCATTTTCTTACAGGATTTACGTTAAACACTGTACTATTATTTTAATAAAATTTTATTTAACAGAAAATGTTTTAATTTTATTAAAATTTTTACTGTTTTTGATTTAAATTTTTTTGACTATTCTTCAAAAAGATTTTTTCAAATCAAATTTTGATTTTGAAAAATTTCAAAATCAAAAGGCGGCGGCACGGCACTTTGAATAAAAACCTTGATATTTATTTCTGCTAGTCCATTATTACAATACTTTTTTTATAATTAGATACATAAAAATATAAAATAAATAAATTTCAGCCAAAATAATTGAACACTGAACACAACGATTGCAATAATCTAAAACTAATGCCATATCAGACCTCCAAGTTGAAAATATTTATTTTTAAATTCTATTTTTTATTGAACAATTTTACTATGTAATTCAGTACCGTTCCTTTTGGAAGACAAGAAAGGTTGTGTGCGTTAAAAATTGTAATTTTTTTTAATCCATTTTTCAGATGGAAATTACCAATGGATTTTTTTGAAATTTGAATTTTAAATTTAAAAAAATATGTAGAATCAGTAGAGCCAAATATATTGATCAATTTCGTTCACACAAATAAATTCTCACACACCTTCCATCTAAACTTAAGATAAATTTGGAATTTATTTTTGATTTGCTGTCTGAGCTTGATGGCTTGTAGATATATATGGCATTATCTAAAACAATAAAAAACACTTTTGATTCGGAATGAATAAATGAAACAGCCAAAGTTAAATTAACATTCTTCAATATATTCAAATACCTCGCCTACCTAATTTTTTCCTTCATTTATATCGATTGATGGATATTTTACTATTATTAGTCAATTTTAACTATAAAAGCTAAAAAGATCCCAATACCAGTAAACCATATGTGTATGATCATAAAATCAATTCAATTTTTCTCAATAAAATTGAAAAATTATATATGTACATTACCCAAGTTTTGAGTTTAAAAAAAAAAAAGAGAAAAAAAATTAATTCAAAAGCGTAAAAAAAAGTTAAAAAACTGTGAATTTTTTTCATGTGCATTCCTGTATATTTCTAAGGTATTTTTATAGAATTTTGTTCAATTATTAAGCAAATTCCTATAAATATTTTTTTTTAATTCAATTGAAGGTTTTTATCAATTGAAAACGATTAATATGCCTATTCCAAGATGCGTCGTAATATTGGTTCGAACTACTATACGACCCCGAAGAAAATGGTATTCCAATATACGAATAAAATATTTAATTTTTCGGATTGTCAAAATCAAATGAAAACTTGTTTACTGGTAAAAAAGGAAAACAAAAAAAAAACGAAACACAACGAAAACAAAAATTATTTTAATTTAAAAGTAAACAAATAATAGTGGTTTTATTAATAAACGAAAAAAAATATATTATATCTAGCATTTCAATATATTTTAAATATATATTAAATTGAAGTTGAGTTGGATTCAGTAACTTTTTATATTGAATTACACACATTTTATTATTAATTACAGAAGCTATACTTATATTTTAATAATTTTTTGACTTGTATTATTTATTTTAAAACTTAACTGAAAACAGCTATCGATAATAAAACTACAACTAGCTATAAATTATTTACGAAGAATGTGATTATTCGTGGAATTTTATTAACATTTGCTAAAAACGGATCTTAAAATGAGTTACAAAAATTCGGAGTCATAATTTATTCGTAACTTCTGACGTTTAATTTGGAAAATTTTCGGATCTTGTGTATTACAACATTTTTGTATCATCCCCGAAAAAAAAGCAATACGACGGATTTTGGGATAGGCATTTTTGAAAAATAATCCTGCACATTAAACATTAAATCTTAAGTTTTTATTATAATATTGCAAAAAATTTAAATTTAATTTAAATAAAATATAACATTTTCTTGTAATAAAGGTGGGAAACTTGAATTTTTAAATTATTGCGATTTACTCGTACACTTATTTTCGTTACAAAATTTCACATGTTTACTCAACCTGATAATACATTTTTCTCTTCAAGATTCAAGATAAATTGAAAATTTTAAAGAATTGTTCATTTTCGGATTGGCATGATTAAAATATTTAACGGATATTCCATTTCAACTAACTTAATTCTAATTATTATTTTCAAATTATTCTTGATTCAAATAAGTTGATTCAAATTATTATAAAATATCAAAATGTCTAAATTAGGGTATGAAACTGTGAAACTTTGCAAAATGAATTGCGTTTACAGTCTTGTAAATAATAAGAAAATTTGATTTTTGAAAATCTAAATTTTCTTTTATTTCACTGATACTAAAATTTTGATTCCTAGAATTATTTTTGCATAATACCAAAATTAGTTTAATTATTGTAGAAAACAAATCAAATTATTGAGCAATTAAACAGAATCCTTTTTTTAAATTGGTGAAATAGGTTTTCTTTTATTATTTTTTTCAAATGCGTTAGAAAAAATTTTATTATCAAACATTGATTAACGTGTAGGCTCTTTAAAATTTATTTTAAGTTTCCCACTTTTTAAGCAAAATTTCTTTTTACAATTTTACAAATATTTATTTAAATATTTTTATTAATAAAAATGTTATCCGTTTTACAATATACATTTACATGCATGAATAAAAATTTTATGTAATTTTCAAAATTTTCAAAAACAAATTTTAAGCCTAATTCTCTTGCTAATAATTATGATAAAAATTTAAAAATATATTATATTTTCTTTGAAAGTATATTTACTATAGTTTTGTTCAATTTTATAATATTTTGTAGTTATTAGAAATATTATGAATTTTTCCTTATTATCATCATTTTAGTATTTTTTGTTTTTCTTGTTTTTGTTAATGCACAATAAGCTTAAAATATTAATTAAATGAGGAATTAGATCATGTTGCATTAATTTTGCTTCTGAAAAATAAATAAAAAAATTATATAACATTTTAAATTAATTACTTAGAGTTAATTAATTAGAGTTAATATAAGATTAAAAACAAATATTATAAAGACTTTTGTTTACCTCGTCTTTCTCTGCAACACTATCTTCATCTTTTAAATAACGGGAACGGCGTTTGTCGTTACTTAGCAATTGTGCAACTTTTGATTGTTTGGCCAAATCTAAGGCCTCTTTTTTACTTCGTAATGCACAATCTTCCAAAGTTTCGGCAGCTTCATACATACCTTGACGACGATATAGAGCTCCTAAATTCTTTAAAGTTGTGGTTACTGTTGGTGAATCAACTTTGGCAGCTTTGTGCCAACCGCCGTATTCTCCATATGGTGTATTTTCACGATTTTCGAATTTATGCTCCTCACGCTCTTCAGCAACCTAAAATTTAATTCAATTATATAATTATTTTCATAAAATAAGTTCATTAACTATATATTTCAGCAATAATTTAAATAAATTGCTTCAACAAATATTATCTAGTTATATTAGATCTTAAAAGTAATACATATGTATATGTATTTCCACCAAAGCCGATTAGTTTATTTAAAATTACTTTTGGTTTTAAAAAAAATTTAGTTTTAAATAAATTTTTAAAAGATTTTGTTTTCTTACATTTAACTGTGTGTCTTTTCCCAGTTCAACATACGTAATAAATTTTATAGGTTCTAAAAAGTTTTAAGAAATTAAATAGAAGAAGAAGTAACCATGTATATAAACATACATATTACCTCCGAATCACTCAACAATGAAAAAATTTTAAAATTTTTGGAATGTATTATTTTGAGAATTTTTTACAACTCATTGGTTTTTTAAAAACTACTTACACTTAATTGTACGGTAATATCTTTAAGGTTAGACATATATGTATACATGAATTTCTATTTAATTTCCGTTTTTTCTAATTCATTTTTTTAGTTCCGTCATGCAGATTCTTCAAAATCTCATCAATGTATGTAAAAACAAGATTTATTTGAAATTGAAAACATTGAACAGAAGGATGGAAAACCGAAATGTAATCAAATTTTCATTGCCATGTTTAAAAACCTTCTCAACACTTTTGCTTATTTATTATAATATGTACAATAATTCACACAAATTTTTCAAGTGAAAATAAAAAATAACTTATCACTAAACCTTACATAGTCAAGGTAAAGTAAAAAAATTTACAAAATGAATTTAAAAATATTAAAATAACAAAATTAATTATAAATTGTAAATAAAAAAGAAAATTACTTTAAAAAATCCTTTTAATTTTATTACGAAGAAAATTTGCAATTAAATTTTATTACAAAAAGGCAAGCAAAATATAATATTTTAGAAGTGCAATAATTTCGAAAAAAAATCGTGTTCTACTTTACACATAAATTACGGAAGACATTTTATAAAAATTTGTAACAAAATGACTTAATTTATATTTTTTTTTTTTTTTTGAGAAATTTATGAAATTTTTACTTTTAGAAGTAAAAATTGTTAAAAATCTTTACTTGATTAATTTAAGTCCTAACTATTTTAAGCTCTTAAACTAAAAGATTAAATAATTAAATTTTATTAAAAAAACATTCAAAATACAAAGTTTAAAATAATAGAGATAATTTTTTTAAATTCTTAACTTTATCCCTGCAGACAAATTTAAGCATTAATTTCTGAATTTGGTTTCAAGATCGTGTTGTTATAATATCGATTTTAAAGATTATAATTACATTTGTGTATTTAAAATAATATTAAATTATTAGTAGTGGATGACTTTTTTAACTATACACAATGTTTTGTTATATTCTTCTGCTAAATTAATTACAAATTATTAACATTACAGCAAAGATTTTAAAAAAAATCTATAATACGAATAGAATAACTTAATTCTAATATATAAAAAATTTTATTAAGATTTAATTTTTAACTTTAAATACAATTCTTATAATACAAGCTAATATATATTTAAATGCTACTAAATCAGATAAAAATAATTAACTATATTTATTAGAAATTTTGTGAATAATACTCTAACTATTGAATTATTAAATTTACGGAAAAAAATAATAAACTTTTGTCTCAATTCTTAGGATTGGATTTGAAAACTTTTAGCACCAAAAATTTTATTTCAGAAAATTCAACAATCAGTACGAACTAGTAAATGGACAAAGCGAAAAATTAAAGGAATTTAGGGAAATTATACTCTTAGAAATATTGGCGTTAACAGCAATTTTGAATTGATTTTATTAAAAAAAATAAAGCTACTGTATAAAATCCATATATGAACATGTAAAATTATCTACTTGTTTTAGAAATAAAGCTTATTATCCAAAACGACTGAGTTGATGTAAACTCATTTACAACATCACATAATAGTCTAGTTTCAAATTTTGGCTAATTTGAAGTAAACACATTTTTAGACGTGATTTTAACTATGTTCAAATGCATTAAGATTTTTAGAGAATTTTCTGGAACTTTATCTGAAAAGAAAATGTGAAAGGGTGTTCACAGAGTAATGAATCTGATGAGATAGCAGATTTTTATTCGGTCATTTTTTACTTAGTCCTCTCTCATTATTCACGTAAAACTGCCAAAATTTAATAGCATCGCTCATAAAGCAATTCTGGACGGAGAGCAGAATGTGATTTTTCGTAAGTGGAATCTTTATCACCCGTGCTAACATTTTTTAAACAATGTTATTTAACAATTTTACTCTTCGAAATTTGTTCTTCTGTTTCGGAAAGAAGACTATATTATACCCGTAAGCGAGATATATTTTAAAGGTGACGTTCGCGATCAAATTTTCAGCGATTTTACGATGAAAAACCAACACGGTTCTGCGAATGACCAATTTCATTACAACACATCTATCATCGTAAATGACGTAGATGATCAGCAATAGAGAGATGAAATTTATGAGAAAGATTTTCGGCCAACCGGCGTCATAATCTTGGAATAAAATTATGTTTTCTTCACACTTTTAATGACAGAATTAGTTGGTAGCTTGCTAACAGAACTTAGTTCCCAGGCTGTCACTTTGGTCTACTATTATTTGTTAATTTATCTATCTAGGTTAAAGATGTTTTCTCTATTTTGACAGCTGGTGAGGGTTCAAATGATATAAAAAATTGTAGAATTTAATTACTATTTTTTGCTTAGTTATAAGTTATTTGCATTATTTACCTTATCTGATTTAAAATGACATAAAAAATCATTCTTAGTAGTTTTTTGTTTTTTGCAACATCTTTTAACATCGAAAGTATGTTCGTAGGGTATACTAAATTTGCCTTACCGTTTGTAACGCTAAGGAATAATTGTCTGAGATATACACCCAAGTGTGCTCGATTTAGCTTTGTGTGTCCGTCTCAGCGATAACTCAAAAACTAATTGCGCTAAGTTCACCAAATTTTCACAAATGATTTATTATAGTAAATGCCAGAACCCTTTTTAAATTGGACTTGATCCGGGTACCGGTTCGGGTAGCTGCCATACAACTTCAAAATTTGTTTGGCTATATCTCATTGGCTATATTGAAATTTCACACAAACGAATATATTAGTAGGGCCAATATGTCTCAAAATAAAAGTAGGGCCAATGTGTTTGGTAGCAGTGATATAGCAACTTCAATAGTATTTTGGCCAATCTTAGAAAATATTAAAAACACAGTACTGAAATTTTTCATAAATTAATACGGTAAAATGACAACTTAAAGTCATAGTCTATTTCATAGTCAGCTACGGCATATTTATTCGCATATAGGATAACAAATTCGTACGGGTATCACAGAGTTAACACGGTCAACTCTATTTTTCTTGTTTCGAATGCAATTGAAGAAAAAGTAATATTTAAAATATCTACTGTCAAAAAGAGGTTCCCGTGAATATTACAAATTACAAAATTTCGGATAGGTAATTTGCTATAAAATAAGGTAAAATTTTGATACTTCAATAATAAATTCATACAGACTTGTTTAGGATGCAACAACAACAATAATGTTTTAATGCATTTTATTTGTAAAAAAAAAGTATTATTTACGCATGTGTGTAATCATTTTAATGAAATAATAAACGCTCAGTTAAACGAACAATTAACTTGGGGAAAGGAACTCTGGGAAAATGAAAAAATTTAAGAGAAAAGAACTATGAATGCCTTAGAGAAAAATGTAAAGAATAATTCAAGAATACTGCTTTTAGAAAAGAGTCAGGACTGCTTTTAGAAAAGAGTCAGGACTGCTTTTAGAAAAGAGTCTTCTCAAAAAAAAAGTTTGCTGCGACCCTAGCAATAATAAGTTCACACAACCTATTAGCAAATTCAAGAAATATAATGGTACGAAGATTTTTCAATTTGGAGAATTTGAAGAAGCTACCAAAAAATAGAACCCTACAAAAAGAATATATTGAATTTGCGAAGTTATGGGCAAATTTGATACATATTGAATAAATTAAAGAACATGAAATTCTTAAGATCCATTATTTTATGCAATATCATGGTATAACCAAGCCATTTAGCAGCACTACTACATTAAGAGTGGTTTTTGCACTTCATGCAAAACGGCGAGCAATCTTTCTTTAAACGACATCATGATGAAGGGCGCAAAACCGCAGTATAATTTACTTGATATTTTACTTCGTTTTAGAACACAAAAATATGTTTCACGACTATTTTCAGCTATATGAGAACATTAGAAGGCAGCCGCATATGAAAATTTTTTTTAAATTGGATTTCTTTTTTTTTTCATTTTAATATTTTTTACATAGTGCGTTCATTACATATAAAATGGATTGTCTAAGAAATTTGCTCATTTTAATGTTATATTTAAATCATATGTGTATAAAACACGCCTTCCAAATTTAATGATAGAACAATTAGAGGAAGGATATAAATTGGCTTTCTTTTTATTAGAAAACGTTTACATAGTGTTGATTATTTTGATACTGCTTTATTATATAAATATAATATGAAATATGTAAGTAAGGAAGGGAATGACACATTTTATCAAGAAAAAATTTTTATTCAAACATATGAATAACATTAAAGATTAAAAAAATTTCGGACCTATTTCTTAAAAAAAAAGGAAAACAATATTAAAATTAAATTATAAATTGTAATAATAAAAGAAAATAAAGCTTAGGTACGGAAGCCTGATAGCAATTAAAAAGTGAAGGCAACACCACCACACAAGATGTGAACAACGAAAGAGCACCTCATATTTTTAACCTGAATGCCTACATGAAACCTTCTTAGTAAAGATTTAAATTTTTATTTTGAATAAACTTGCTTCATTTACTTTTTGCATTAAAATCTAAAGAAGAAAAGAAAACAGCACTTATCACCTGATGTTTAAAATGTGCGTAAGTTAAAAATACGTAAACTCTAGCCAAACTTTTAAAATACTATAGAGCAGACAT